GTGAGCAGCCATGATAGATCCTCGAGTGTCAATTATCAATTATTCTATGTCATCCCTATTCTTACCAAAACATCTTTTATATCTGACTATGAATGAAACAACTCATATACATATAGATAAAGATTAATTAATGACTTTGATTATCGAGGCATTTAATATTGATATTGACAGGTACATCTAGTCTTTCAAATTGTAGAATTATGGAGATTTTAGAAAATATCGCACTAATTGTAGTTTAATTATATGCCTACACTATTTGCACACATGGTCAAGACAATAATTTATAGAAGCTAGCCACACCCTATTGTTTGGAAGAGATTTTCAAAATTGAAATCCCATAATTAATCCCAACTTGAATTGTGTCTCCAAAAGGGAAAACAAAAAAAAAATCAAGTTTATTCAAATATTTACAAATATATTATGATCGGTAATATTACAAACCCTGATTTTTTTTTCAAAAAAAATTTAGAAGATAATTTTTAAAGAAATTTAAGAAAAAAATCTGAGCATGCCAGATGTTTCTCGTGAAACATCAATGATAAAATTTTAATTTGTCCTATCTATCATTTGCAATGATCATAAATAAATTTTATTAACAAATAGATTAGAAACAACCCATTAATTGATTAATTAGAACACCCCAGTCATTTGTATGTGTGTGTGCGAGAGAGAGAGAAAGATTGATGACAATATAACATCCCACAAGTGTCAATAAAATATTGATGAATATTGTGTTAAGGGCATGTTCCCATTGGACTGGGATTTGGGTGGGTAGAAATGGGTGAAGGTGGTTGGGCAGGATCATAGAAGAAAAACATACATACACTGAAATCTCTAAATCTTAATTCTTGTGTATCAAAGACTCAACCCCTCGTGCACAAACTCTTTGTCATTCCCTCTCCCCACAAAAAATTCAGCTTTGAAACAGAAAACCAAAGAAAAAATAAACCCAATCCCTCTTAGTCAATGCCTATAACTGCTTGACTTTTCAGTAATAATTGGAAAACTTTGGTGATAATTTAGCAAATCCACCATAGCCATTCACTGTAGTGGCATTGTTGTAAATTTCATAACCAAGTGTATCATTTTTCTTTGCACCATGTTTTGTCAAAGTGTTAGCTGTAATTATCATGGTTTAAAAAAGGCTAGCCATGGCTGCTTCTTCTTCAAGATCAGGGGAAGTTATAGAGCATAAAGTACACGCTACCGATTCCCAATCTTCTCTAAATTGCTGTTATAAGCTCTCTTCATAGCGTCAGCCGTATTTTGGAACTCGGTTGCTCTTTTTTGCCTTGGGCTTTTTTTTCAAGCTTTTTTCCAGAAAGAAAGAAATGGAGGAGAACCTTCCTCCAGGGTTCAGATTCCATCCAACAGATGAAGAACTCATCACTTACTATCTTTCCCACAAGGTCTCCGATATCAGTTTCACGTCCAAGGCTATTGTTGATGTTGATCTCAATAAATGTGAACCTTGGGACCTTCCAGGTAGCTTGAGTCTTTGATTTGTTTCAAACTAATTCAAACTTTTTTTTTACTTAGTTTTTTCTGATTACATTCCATATCATCTGGAGCATCACTAGGTTTTCCTTGTCAAGTCTTTATTGATAGATTAGATACATATAGAAATCTTCATGCTTCTTTTCTGATTACATTCCATAGCATCTGGAGCATCACTTGGTTTTCCATGTCAAGTCTTCATATATATATATATATAGATAGATAGATAGATAGATAGATAGATAGATAGAAATCCTCATGCTTTGACCTTTTGGCAAAAAATCTAATTAAAACTTTTCGAAACCCAAACTGAAATTTATATACCTTGATGGGGTTTTCTTTGTTTGTGCATGTGTGTGTTCAGAGTGAAGATTTAATTATCATATACTTTGTTTAATAGACAATAATACACAGCTAGAAATACCATTTAAGATATTTTTTCATAGAGATTCAACCTCTAGTTTCTTTGCCCTTTATTTTCTTAATTCCTGTTAATGATAAGTGTTTAATCAAAGCAGTTAAGTTTTGTACTCTTTTTCAATCTTTTCTTCTGAAATTTGAGAATGAAAACTTCTCTTTGGAAAAACTTACTAATGTAAACTAATTAACGTTTAATTATGTTGAAAGGACAAATGCTTAGGATTGGTAAATTAATTCTGTTTAAGATCTCTAGGCCAATCATGACTGTTTGTTCCCCTACTTTCTGGTGACCTAACAAAAGACTGATGTTGAGATGAATATGTGATGCAGCCAAGGCATCCATGGGGGAGAAAGAATGGTATTTCTTTAGCTTGAGAGACCGAAAATACCCAACAGGACTTCGAACCAACCGAGCCACTGAGGCAGGCTATTGGAAAACCACAGGCAAAGACAAGGAAATCTTCCGGGCTGGCATTCTTGTTGGGATGAAGAAAACCCTAGTTTTCTACAAGGGGAGAGCCCCCAAGGGTGAGAAAAGTAACTGGGTCATGCATGAATATAGGCTTGAAAACAAACATCCTTTCAGAACCACAAAGGTATATATATATTTTTTCTCATACTTTAAATTTTCTTCCTCTCATTGATGTAGCTTGAAGGAATTCTAATGATTTAATTTGGTTGTTTTTGTTATTTTTTTCCCTTGATTTTTACAGGAGGAATGGGTGGTTTGTAGGGTATTCCAAAAGAGTGCAGCAGTGAAGAAACCGCAGCCAACCTCATCCTCACAACCATCACTGGGATCTCCATGTGATGCAAATTCAATTGTCAATGAGTTTGGAGACGTTGAGCTACCAAACTTGAACATCAACGCCAATCCATCAAGTACCGGGTTCAGTAACATTGCAACACCAAGTTATAATAACAGTACTGCTAATCATGGTCACTTGAACATGAACTTGAACGTTGATTTTGCTGCAGCAAACCTTCCGTCCTCGCTCACATGGCCTTCTAGCATTCTAAGCCCTAATCTTTCCATGAATTCCTTCCTTTTCAAGGCATTGCAGCTTAGGAATTATCAACCAAGAGACGTTACAACTATGGATTACTCGCTTCTGTCATCGGCGTCCCAAGGGATTCCTCAATTTGGATCAGGTTTAAGTCCAAATTTCCAAGCCGCAACAGCTTCTTCTTCCAAGGTTTTAGATCCTACTCCACAACAACAACAGCAGCAGCAGGAGCAACCATTCAATATGGACTCCATGTGGTGAAGCTATAATATAAATATATATGTATCTCTAGTGTGAAAAAAACTAACACCTTGTACACTTCTTTTCTGTCTCAATGTTCCATAACTTGAAAGGGTTAAGATGAAACAATTTATCCCAAAGCTGTAACCTTGTCGGAGTTTCGACCTTAATTGTGTTTATGTAGGTAAAAATGTAGGGGGAAAATACCATAGTAATTTTTCTGTTGGCCTGTTCTTCATGTCTACAAGGAGAGTGTCCCTGGTAGGTTGCTAGTAACACCTTCTCCATTAGAAAGTACTTAATGTCCATAAATTCCAATTCCTAATAAGAAGTCTGAATGTTATTGGAACCTAGCCACACAATATTGCATTGTTTCATGCATGCATAGCAAGTGAGCAACAGGTTGCTGCCTTCTTATATGGATCTACTTGTATTTTTTTTTTGTTTATGAGGGCCAATTGCAAATGCTCCCCTTAATTATAAAGCATTACATAATTTGAAATCTTAACAATAAAATTTTTATATAATGTTGCAAAGTGCTACAGGTAAATAGTTGTGAATGCAAAAATTATATGTAGTAGTTTCTGTGTTTCTTGTTGCTATGAAATGTAGTTTGGAAGGAATCAAGGCTTCTTATACTGCCAGGAATATGTTTGTGCAACAAAATTTAAATTGTTGCAAGAATTACATGTTGCAAAAAATAAAAAAATTTGTAACAATTTGAACATATCTTGCCATGAAATGTAGCTTACAATAATCTATTTCAGAATCTTGTGATTGAGTTTTGAATGCAAGTTACGATCCAAGCCATTAGATTAAGAGAATTTTGTGAAGTATCGAGTCTTTGAACGTAAGTTGCACCCCAAATCATTAGGCTGAGGACTCATTTATCTGGGTGACATGTATTGTTGAAAAAATATTTTTCAAAAAAAAAGTCAAAATATTCTGTAGCATAAAAGAAGTTTGATGCAAAAAAAAAATTTGTTTTTAATGTTAAATTCCTTGTATTGAGGTCATAGGGTGGATGTTTAAGAAGGTGTAAAAGCTATATACACTGACCACAAGGAAGAATTATTTCACTTCCCACTAATTAGTAAATATGTATATGCAAGAAACTGTATGAATTTCTCAATATTCAATTACAAGCTAGTAAACACAGAAACTTAATAATTTTAAGAAACACTAATTCTATATAAAGAAGAGAATATATATATATATATATATATATGTATATATGAAATTGAGGTAGAATCTACTTACAATATCAGTGTAAAGTTAGTTAAAGTTTTATATATTCATATCTCTTTTGATATAATTTATATTTAATTAATCCGATGGTTAATTTTATATTCTATTTATAGAAACATATAAATATTTGTTTGATAACATGAAAATTGCAAATGATGAAAAAACATTAAAACAATAGTATTCTCGTTAGGTATGGTGTGGATGTAAGATTAACTCAAAACTTTATATACATGATAAGTACGATAAACCGATAAATTTAATAATTATTTTCTTAAAATATTAATTGTACATAAAATTATAAAAGAATATAAAACTAATTTAGTTTTGCATGGGTATAACTTGAGCCCTCTTCTTTGGGATTAATCCCCACATTTGATTCAAGGCAAAATCAAGCCAACATTATATTAAAGCTAATAGACAAATTTTCCTTTGCTCTAAACAATAGCTTAACCCTCAAACCCTAACTCCAAATTTTCTCCTTAATTGGGTCAAAAATTGAATGGGCTTGGATCTCTTTTTAAGCCTGTAAGGAGGCCCGAATGCTTTATAAGTGGGCTAAGGCTTATCCAATTCCACTTTGCAAATCAACACCTCAGATCAAAGCCTGAAGTCAGGTTAGGATTTCTCTTTCTCTCGCTGAAAGAGTCGACAGAGACAATGGCGGGAAAGCAATTGGCCGGCGAAGGCTTGCCGGCGAACATCGCCGGAATGTCAAAGAACCAACTTTACGACATTATGTCCCAGATGAAGGCACTCTCTCTTTCTGTGTTTTATTTGATTTCAAAACTTTTCTTTTCTTTTCTTCCAAACGCCGCTTTCTTCGCCATAAGATTTAAATGGCAATTTACATTTATTATTAATTTTTATCTGATTATTATTCTTTTTGGGTTATATGCAGACGCTTATAGAACAGAACCATCAACAGGCGAGGCAGATCCTTATCCAAAACCCTTACTTGACTAAAGCCCTTTTCCAGGTTTTCCCTTTTTTTTCCTTCTTTTTATCGAATTTAATATGCCTTTTCGTTTTCCTTTCCAAAATTATTGTTATTTTTGCTTACAAGGTTAAATTTTGATACCTTACGTGATTGTTGCATGCTATTGTTAGGGAATTGCATGACCCTTTAGCTTTACAATCTCAATATCTCCTTGTAGGCTGAATTGTGAACCTTAGTTTCTTTTTTTTTTTTTTTCCTATAGTGGTTGAGAGTATCCAGTCACTAAGAATCTGAGGGGCATTGACAGTGAATGTGTTTTTTATTCAATGTATTTTCTCGTCTTATCTCCTGGGTTTTTATGTAAGTTTGTGTGCCTTAGTGTGGGCAATTAGGTTTTTGAAGTTGGTTTTCTGATTATGGGATGTTTGTAGTTCTTGTTGCAACTCACTATGTGCTAGAAACTGTCATCATGGAAATATCAATCTTGATGGATTAGATGCAGTGCTGCATAGTTTGTTGGTTAATCACCTTTCTTTTGTTTTAAATTGCATCTTTTTAGATGGTGTAGTGTTGAATCTTTAGAAGCTTTCTATCTGTAGTCAGGTTCTTTTTTTTTTTAAAATATTCTTGTTGTTTCAGGCTCAGATTATGCTTGGAATGGTTAAGCCCCCTCAAGTGGTATGCTTTTGTTCTCTATGAAATTGTTGTCTTTGTAATTTTATGTTGGGGACTGTGCCAGTGTTCTGAATATCTGTCTGTGTTTAGATTCCCACCATTCAGCCACCTGCACCACAACATTCTCAGCAATCGCTCAACCACTCCCACAGCCAAACTTGCAGCCAGCACCATCATTGCCAGTTCAGGTTGGGTTGCAGGACCTAGCTGCTGCTCTCAGACCCAACCACCTATAAGGAAGCAGCATCAAAACCAAACTGGTCACACAGATCTCATCTGCTGCTGTTCCTGCAGCAAACCTTCCACCTCAATCTATGCCACCACATTCCCTGCAGACACCACAGCAGACTAAGGGACATTTGAATCCTCCAATGTCCCTTCCGCAATCCTCCAACTCCCAAATGTTCCTCCACTTCCCCTTCATTCGTCTTCACAGCCCCGCATCATCATCAAACCCATATGCCCACTGCCTCGAGCCAGTTGCAGCAGCCAGTACAGACAACCGGAATTCCTCATATGCCTCTGCAGCTGCCAATGCCACCACAGGCAAGACCAACTTCGGTGCCAGCTTTCCATCATCAGTATGCTCCACAAATGGGTCCTAATGTGGGTTTCCAGCACCCTGGTGCTCCCAGCATCCTTCACAGCCAATGTTCCATGTAAGTCAAAAGTTACATTGTGGAAGTCAGTCTTGGGGTTCTCCCTTGTAACATATTTTGTAACGATTCCCCTTATTGTTGAATTGCTCAGTCAGGTAATAAACCTCCTTCTGGCCTTGGACCCTCTTTTCCACAAGGACAGTTACCCCTTCCAAATCAGCCGCCACCTCAATCGATATATCAAAATCAGGTATGTGAATACTTTAGTTCTTTGATATATGCTTGTTTGATCACTTAGTAAATGTTTGATGTATGTTGGTTTGATCATGTAGTGAATGTTTGATATACATTGGTTCCAATCACGTAGTAAATGTTTGATGTGTATTGGTTCAATCACGTAGTGAAGCATTCTTTTGGGGCTGATTACAAAAGTCGGCTTGTTTTATTTTTTCTTTATTATGCTTTATGGCATGACTGAGTGAATGGTTCTAAACACTCTGTAGTATAACCTTAAGTCTGAAGTAGATTCAATTGCTTTTTATCGGGCATGGGCAATCTGTCAATATTAATCCCCCTTCTGCTAGGAGCATAAGTTAGGGTTTTTTTTTTTTTTTTGGTGCTTTAAAATTGAAAAGCTGTCAAAACAGTGGATTCCTTTTCATTCGTCTGAAAGTCATAAAATTACTCTACTCTACTAATATTTACCATGTCAACGGCAACTTTGCTATATGATTGTTGAGCTAATTGATTTTGTGCCTCATGAGAAATTGTGGCAATCTGTTTTGTTTTCGTTTTCCTTAATAATCAAATATGATTTTGTTTTTTACTATTTACTTTTATTTTATAGTAACTCTTTTAGGAAGCAAAAAGTAAATAATATTGAAAATAAATTAGCAAATGGAATAACCTAGTGGAGTTTTAAACTCCTAAACTTTATTTTCTTTTTTCTATTGAAAATAAAATTCCATCTCTCATGGAATGGTATCCTATGGGAAATAACTATGCCTAACACATGATTAATTTTCATGTTAATACTGAACTTGGGCTATGTTAAACTTCTCTGAAAATTTTGATAAAACTGCCATGTTTAATTTCAATTCTGATGAATAATATAATGAGGAAAGATGCTATTAAGTCTTTGATTTATAAATTTTTGATGTCGGGGAAGGGACAAAAAATGCCAGTTCCTATTGCACTTTTCTTTCTCCAGCTGTCTTTTTAGTATTATTTTTCAACTCTTTTCGACCTGTCCTTGTTAATGGTTATACCAAATATTTGTTCCTTTGGGTTGTCTAATACATGCCTTTGACTCAGATTTTATAAGCCTCATATAATTGGTCTATTGCCAAATTGAGTTTGCTAATTGACAAGTTTTTTGGAACATATTGTGTGTATTCTTTCAGGCAGGTGGCTTGCATTTAGGATCTGAGTTTGGCAACCAGGTTGGAGGTTCGATGCAAGCGGATAGAGGATCTTCTTGGATGTCCAGCCAACCAGAGAATTTGACACTAACACAGCTCCAAGGACAATCTCCATTAGTTCCCAGTCAGATGGGTCCAGGAAATCAGCCCCTTCGCCCTGCATCGGTGATTATCTAGACTTTGAGTTTCATTTCAGCAAAAATAATGTGTCTATAGCTCAAATTGTCCCATTAACAGTTTGATTTTCCATTGGCTCTTTATAGTTGACTCCTGAGATGGAGAAGGCACTACTTCAGCAGGTCATGAGCCTCACTCCAGAACAAATTAATCTCTTGCCTCCAGAGCAAAGGAATCAAGTGCTTCAGCTCCAGCAGATTCTGCGCCAATGAGGAGGCTCTACTTCCAGCAGATCATGAGCTGCACTGCAGAACGGATTAATCTCTTTCCTCCAGAACAATGGATATATTCCCCAGACATAGCTGTGAGGAGCCATGTGAAGATGATAACTGATCTGACAGACAAATCACAAACGATAGAATATTGTTTTGCTGCTGTGATACAGCTGCCAATTCAGCATATGCAGCAGGGATTCATACAGATGCATTTCATCTTAATCTCGCTTGAGCCTTTGGTATGTTATACGTAGGTTGGTGGCTTTTGTAAGTTGATTGTTAGGCCCAGATTTGTGGGACTCTTACCAAGTTATGTTTCTTTAATTTGTTGTAAGTTGAACAGAGGGAAGATGCATTTCATTTTTCCGTCTTGGCTTTTGTTCTATTGATGTTTCTTTAGCTTTAGCAATTAGAAATTGAAAATCAAACTCGTTTTTGAAATTTAAAAGATTTGAGCTCAAGCAATTTGAGTTACAGAATCAGGATGATGCAGAGAAAGCCTCTGGGCATATTGCTTATAGCCCAGCACCATATTTGCCCATATTGCTTTGACTCTTACCTTTTTCCTTGATATGCTTGCGCGCAGTATGTATGGAAGTTCGACCCCAGAGAAAAATATACATGTACAAGTAACATAGGTCTAAGCCAAATAGACAGCACCAATGATGGAATTTCATTGTATTAACACCAAAATATACAGTAGTTACAATATATCAAAGTGCTTTTACAGTGGGGAAAATTATTTTCCCCCTAATTGAAAATGAAATACATTTATTAAATATGGACTGCGATAAGTTTTGAGCGGGAAAAACTGCCCATACGGAACTTGAAGCTCTGTGGCCACCAAGTTTCGGATTTTCGAAAATTAGCATCATTCTTGATGCGGTTAAATGAACAGATCACTGCAGAAAATGGGGCTGGTTCTATACAAAGACAAAAGCCATTTCATGGCAGTTGAAGCATTAATGCCAGTCATGTAAGCCCTTCCGCCCCATTTAACAAGCAGAGCAACTTGGGAAGAAGAATCATCCATGATATACATTCCAGCCCAAGCCGTCCCAATATTCAACCTGCTCAGGTCAAAGGAATATAATATAAATGAAGATAAGAATGCGTAACTGACTTTATTGAAAAAAAAAAGAAAGAAAAGAAAACAGAAAAACATTGATGCTTTTACAGCTTCTGGATGCATAATTCCTGAAGAACCGGGTAACAGATATTAGAAAGATTAAATGAAAGAAGATAATTACCTCAAAGGGCTATGGAGAACCAAAAAACCATCTTTTCACTTCAAAATTTTCAGAAACTCGATCAAAAACATCCGTGTGAATTGATTTTTTCAGAGTTTGATTGTAAAGAATCTTCATCAGCTTCCAAGTCAATGTTGATAGCCTCATCTTCATCATCATCAAACTCACTATCCTCTTCATCGTCATCAAACTTAGCATCATATTCATCATCACCATCAGATGCCATATATGAAGCTTCATCCTCACTCTGCAAATGAGTACTTGACAAATTATTTCTTACAAAGAAACATCTTTTTTTCCAAAACAAAATAATTAACAATCTCAAAGAACCGTGCTGAAGCTTCAAACCGAAAACCATCCCCGACTCAAAGAACCATCCTGTGCAACAAATATCCAAGACAAGGATAGTAGCAAAATAGAGTATCTCACTTGGATGAGTTCTGAGACAGGATAAAACTTGCCATGCTCGCCTGAGACCTGGCTATCATCATCCTCAACATCTTGAGAGGCACCCTATAGAATCAACAATAGTTTCTCTAGTTTACTTTAAGCATAATGAGACAGAAAACATGGATAAGGATCTACACTTAGAGTATAAAAATTCATACAGAATCAGGACCTAGCAGAGTTACTTAGTCTTTTCCGATCAGTAAGGGAAAGCAACATAAATCTATATGGCACACCAGTAAACCATAAAGTATGCAGCATCATGAGTAGATTAACAATCATATTATTGCTTCAAAAATGCTAGCCAATGTTAGTTCAATTTTTGATTCACTTAATGTTTATGAATGGAAGATATTTATGCATTTTTTTCTTCACTTACAAAAAAAGAAAGGCAGAACCATTTTGCTTGAAATTCCACCATTTTAGAGATTCATGGCAAGGATATTTGAAAACCAATCATTCCTATTGACTGGCTTGGTGTTACTCACTATGGGATTTCCACCGCACAAAAACCACAAAATTTACAATCAGTGCACCATTAAATTCAACAATATAGTTTGTACCTTCTCTGATCTCCTATAAGGAAATTTATCTGAGTCATTGGAGGTTTTAACTATGACGATCAGAACTCCTAAAATAGAAACCAGAATACAAGTGTACAAGACAACTGAACTCTGAGTAACCTCAGCTTTCAATTCAGTGGAACTAAAGTTTTTACAACCAGCTGGTTTCAACAATTTTAGAAATTACTGGGGACAAGAATAGCTTGAAGTCCATAACACTTGCTAAGAATAACTTTTGCATTGGGTATGCACATACATCTAACATAAAAGTTAGAGTCTCAGTAATTGACTATACACAGGAAAAGCAGCACTTACGATTTCCTTTTTCATTTCCTCTATGGTTTTCTCTAGTTCAGAAATATGCTGACTCAGAGCCTGCAAATAGTATGATGTAAGACATAACAGTTATATGGAACCATTGTTATGAAGTATAACAATAAAATCAGAACGTAAGAGATCATACCTCATGGCGTTGCATTGCTACCGAGCGCTTCAATGCCTTTGCCTTTGTTAGAAGGTTTCTTGGCCTCAGGCTAATGGGCCGACGGTAATTCTTTCCACGATAGTAAATAAGAGCATATCCTTTGGGGACCCTTTCAATCGCCACCAGTATCCCACCACTCTCAAACTCCAATAACCTTGCTGTATCTTCAACAAATGCAAGGGTCTTTTGTTTGCTTATTAGCTTCACAAGTTCTCTGTGCTTCCAATGCAAATGCATATTCTCGATAACACCATCAAAAACCCCACGAATACCTGACATATTATTACACAAACCATCAGAATTTTAACTCTAAATCCAAATTTCAATAACCAAACTAAAAGATTACACACCAAGAGGTAAGTATGGTTTCATTCTTAAACCAACTCTGCGAAACATAACCCGCTCCTCATCAGTGATTGTTTCTTGGTCATAATCAGGAGCAGCAGGGATCATGGAGGCTTCTATTTTAGCTAATAGTCTCTCTGCTCTAAGCATTTTGGCTTGGGCCTGTTTGTGCATTCAAGCATTCAATTAACATTGTAATAAATAAATAAATTAACTAAAACAAACTTTCAACTTTGAGCAGGTATAACCATGGACAAGTGTTTAGTAAACAGCAACTACCAGATCCACTAAGCAGGAAATTGATAATATTCAAGAATTAATAACAAAACTGAACACCAAAAACAGCAGTCTCCTTCATATCTTTAAAAACAGTTAATCAAAACAATCTTATTTGGAATATGAGACAAGAGATAGCAAAGCAGTTAAGTTCCAAGAAGCTAACATGCTGGTACAGTAAAAGAAGGTTTTATGGTTGATTTTCAATGGTTTAAGATAACAACAAAATTAGTGAATACTTTCAAACATGCCTATTCTTTTCTAAAAATTTTCATTTCAACCATCAGGATTTGGATATTAAACTTACAACAGCCAGTTTATGTTCGACGCGTTTTACAAGTCTAGCATGCTTAGCTTTGGAAGCTTCTTCAATCATCTTTTCACGTTCTTCTGCAGATATTTCTCTTCCCCAGCGGGCTTGAGCTTCATAAAACTCAGCCAAAGTACCTGCAGGTGCCTGTCCTTTATCTTCACCTGATTGAGCTGGCTCAACTGCTCTGATCCGCACTTTCTCCTCAACATCTTGAATCTGTTTTGTCAACTCCTGTCTTTCTGCTAGAGCAGCCGCAACACTTGTTGGAAGGAAATCTTTTCCACGGTATATGACAATGAAATACTTATTTCTGAGCAGCAATACACCTCCAGTTAAGTTCTGCAAAATTGTCAGCGTGCATAAGCAGTATATTTTTCTGCCTCCTTTTGAAAGTACAGCATAGCTTATATCGTGAAGATTCCAAAGAAAGACATGGAAAAATATTATATAGGGGGGAAAACAGGTGAGTCATCACATAACTGTGGTGGTAAATGTTTCTTTCTACAATGTTGGGCGAAAGTTAAAATGCTCTTGTAAGCAGCTTTGTCAAAGCCTGTGTCCCTCTTCATTCAAGTTTCACTTTACATCCTCTAGGCTCTTGTTCCATCAAAATGAGATTATTACACTTCTCTGTTACAAATCATCAAATTAACTATCAATTGCTATCTTGCATGTATGCTTGTCAACTAATATAAGTTTCTAATGTCTTAAAATTAAATGAGGTTTGGTTTACATGAAAAAGAAACAATTAGTTTCTTCCCATGAGTAAATATTTTGACCTAGTTGATTGTTTTGTATTCTTGCTCAACTTACTGCATGCTGCAGATAATCAGGTGCCCACAAAGCCTTCTTGGCTACAGTAAAATAGTAATAACCTCAAGAGAAATTATCAACATTCTCCTGTAAGAATATCATGGAATAATCAATTTTTTTGGAAGGATCAGTTGAAAGAGGTTTGGCATGATAACATTCAGTTTAAGTAGGGCTGATGAGTGGTAGAGGTAGGCCAAAGATCATACAGGTAGAAGTCATAGCAACAGATCTATTATCTTTCGATCATACTATGAATATAATCTTTGATCAAACATAATGGAGAAAGAGAATTTTTGTAGTTGAACCCGAAATAAGTTGGTGTTTAAGCTTAACTGAATTAGGTTGAGCATTGCAGGAACCGGTTGAAAACTATTCACCAATAGCACGAATCAGGTAAAGCTGTGTGGTAGCCAAAAGGTTGCAACAATGGTGAAAATAATCTGCTTTCATTATGGGGATTGAAACTAGATTTATCCTTAAAATGGCAACAAAGCATATATTTGAACTTTGATATAAGAAACCATGCCATGAACCACAGCAGCATAGGAATGCAATAAGATGATTTAACAATGGCATCATGTTGAACATGATTTTAAGAGTAATTCTTAAAAGTAAAAGGTTCTGCATAGGCGATCATAGTTTTGCATCCTGCTAGGACACTTGGCATTTTTCTGTTCACACAATGGCTTAGATTAAGAAACAAATGATGGGCAGAAGAATAAGAACATATTAAAAACAAGTTACCAAAGCCTTTTAAGTTTTAATAGGACATACCTTTAGCTCCTCAGCCATAAGCTTGTTATTTGTATTCTGAATACCACGTTTTACAGCAATCTTCGCAACAAGGCTTTTCTCCCAAAGTTTAATTATCGCAGCTGCCAATCCCTGGTGGTTCCTATTCCTCCCTGTAAGAATATTTACATAGACAAACTTTATTTAATGTCACAAAC